CCCCCTGCCGGCCGGCCGCTGCCGGGAGCGGAGCTGTCTCCCCCTTCCCGCTGCCGAGCTCGATAGGCGCCGGCTCCTGCTGCGCTGCGCCGATGGGCTCTAGTACCCACATAGCCAGCGAGCTTTGCCCTGGCACCTGAAAGGCAGCGCCTGAACCTTCTCCGCCAGGTTCAGCGGCTTCGTTAAACGAGGGCTGGGCAACCCACAAAGCCTGGAAGTACGAGCAGTGACATAACACGCAGCGCCCCCAGGGCAAAGCTTTGCCCCCACTTTGTAGTGTAGCAGCTACTGGTGGCGCCCTGCAGTTGGGGCAAAACCAGCTTGGAAGGACAAGGCACTTGTAACTCAGTGCTTAGGGGCTGAAAGTGTCCCGAGGGGTTAACAACTGAAACGAACAAGAGGGGTTTTAGGGAAAGTTGGAACATGTTTCCAACCTGTTTGTGAGCCGCGTGTAAGTAGGATCCAGCCCACGCATTTACCATTTGGGCTTTAACTATAAAACCAGCCCTTGTCTGCAAACATAGACCACAACTAATCCTCAACGAGAATCGGGGCTGAGCGAAATTTAAAAAATGTAATTGTGACAGTATTTTAATGTTTCCAGACAATTTCAGAAGGGATGCACTGCTGACCCAGCCTTGCAGAAAAGGTGTAACGTCTCACCTGTTTCCCCACCAGATCCAGAAAATCTAGGGCCAAATTCTCAGAACATCCTCCAGAGCATGGGTTCCCAAACTGGGTGGCATGAAGAAATTCGGGGTGGGGGGGGACACAAGGTGACCCAGCCCCCCATCAATCTCCCTCCTCCCCCCGCCCCAAGTTTTGATGCTTTTTGTTTCTCATCCCCGGTCAGTTCCTTTTTTCCCCTTCAACAAGGTTTGTTGCTATTTTGGAGGGTGGGGTGAGGTGGGGGTGTGAGGGTTTCTCAAAAAATCAGAAAGGGGGCATGATGCTGAAAAGTTTGGGAACTACTGCTCCAGAGTAATCTCACTGAACCCAGTGGTACTACTGGGAATTACACCAGGGAATCTGAAATCAGCATTTGGCCCTGAGAGGAGCCTATTTCAATTACAGAGCAGTGATTGCTTGCTATTCCATAATTAAGATCTTGATCCTGCAACTGCCTGTGGTTGAAAGGCCTGCTATGCCTATATGGAACCTCCCCCCATACACATCAACTTGCATGATCCAGCTATGACAAACTCCTTGGAAGCCCAATATTGTCGTCTTGTCCCAAGAAACATTTAATAAAGAATCAACACTACGACGAGATCTATAGACAAATTCACTCAACTCTACCCATGCATATATCAGGAATGAAGTTTCAGTGGCTTCTAGTTGACCAGCTTGCTTCCCCTTCTCTTCCCCCTCCATGAGATCAAACTATTTTATCCACTGAAGATTCCCACATTTTGAAGCAGCTTCAAACTATTCCTAAGAACTGGATACCAACAGTTCATTATGACTGCTAAAATGGCTATTGTTTAAAAGAAGGGGCCTTTTCTTGTTTTCAAAAGACATTTCAAACCACAGGAAAGATATAAAAACCAACCACAGTTCAGAACACATCAGGAGGTCTAGTTCTTTGTAAATTTCACTGTTTCTGCTACATTGTCTATATAAACTTTAACTGTACCAAGGGAGTAACTTAAATTCACATAAAGAGAAAAAAGTTACTGTAACTATTGTACAAGAGGAGGTGTCAAATCTCTCCCCAGACAAAAGAATATAGACAGGCCCACAAGCTACCCAGCAACCCCATTCAATACAGAAAACAGAAATTTCCCTCTCAGAATTACTTCCCTCCCCCCTCCAAACTGAATCCACAACACCTCTTGTGGGATTCTCCACTCTCATAGATGTCATTTTAGACGCTTTGTTTATTAAAATAAGCAGCATTTGCTTGAAATTCTACCCTTCCCTGATTGGATCAATGGTACACTCCAAAACCTGCCAGAAGAGGGAAGCATTTTTCATTTTTAAAATCCCCCATCCTGTCCCCTCTCTGAGGTGAAAAAATATAAAACCCTTTTAAAAACAGTTTTAAATACCCTCTACAAACTTGTTATTTTCTCTGAAAAAAGGGATGAGTTCTTCTAGCATTTAGAATGTAAGAGTGTAAAAAGGAAATACCAGAGAAAGACCTTGAAGAATTGTAAACATTCCAGTCACATTTAAAATCTCACCTGTTACATATTGAATGTGCATATTATAGCAGCAAGTGAGGTGTGTTGTGGCCAGAGTTACTGATATTCCCAGTCACTATAATAGTAAAAATAAAGTTATGTATAATTGCCCTAAGATGTCATCACTGGCTCCCATGCCTCAGTTTGTGGAACATATAATGAGTATGTATTACTCCAATTTGGATTAAACTAAACAATAGCCGTTACTTAGAATGAACAAGTATTTCCAGTGATACAGACAAATAGCAAAATGTACTTCAGTGACACAAGAGCCTAAGTCCTATTTTCAAAAGTAAATTATGCTCTTAAATCCAGAAGAGACTTTAGAAAATTCCAACATGAATAGGAATTCAGCTTTTTGGTGAAGTTGAGTTACGCTACATAACAGTAATGCACTGGTCTCGTCTGGCCTTGTACTCTACAAGTACCTGGTTCCTTTACTGGACTTTTTATCAGTAGATCTTAAAGCAATCTACAACAAGGATCAGTATTGTTATTCTCATTTTACAAGTGGGTAAGGCACAGAGCAACATCACTTGCTCAAGATCATTCAGCAGAACAGCCCAGATTAGAACCCAGGTCTAAAGCCACTGACCAGTGCTCTATTCACTAGGTAACACTAGCTTACATGGGCCAATTTATAGTGGAGCTAGTAATTATAAAATTACTCAAACTACTGGCAGAAAGGAGAGGTGAGAAACAAAATGATCAGAAGGACAGGAAGCTGTGCCCTGCTCTCTTCGCCTTCAATGTGCTTGTATATTTCACTTCTAGGCTGTCTCTACACTGGCATGAATTTCCGGAAATGCTTAAAATGGAATACTATTCCGTTTTCAGTTTTTCCGGAAAAGGAGCATCTACATTGGCAGGCTGCTTTTCTGGAAAAGCCCTTTTTCCAGAAAAGCGTCTGTGGCCAATGTAGACGCGCTTTTCCGGAAAAGAGTCCCAATCGCCATTTTCGTGATCGGGGCTTTTTTCCGGAAAAGACTACTGGGCTGTCTACACTGGCCCTTTTCCGGAACAGTGTTCCCAAATAAGGACTTATGCCCGAGCGGGAGCAGAATAGTTTTTCCAGAATAGCGGCTGATTTTGTACAGTAGAGCATCGTTGCTTTTCCGGAAATTCAAGGGCCAGTGTAGACAGCTCGCAGTTTATTCCGGAAAAGCGGCTGATTTTCCGGAATAAGTGGCCCAGTGTAAACACAGCTCTAATGTTTAAATACTTAGCACAGGTGTGGCCAGCCTGAGAAGGAGCCACAGTTTACCAACGGTACACTGTCAAAGAGCTACAGTAATTTGTCAGCAGTCCCCATCTGGTGTCTCCTCTCCCATATCCAGCATCTTTCCAGCAGCCTCACCTATCAGTGCCTCCCCTTCCTTCCCCAGTCTCCTGCCCAGTGCAATCAGCTGTTTCATGTCCCTCATGAGGTGGGGAGGAGGGAGAAAGGAGCAACGATACAATATGCTTGGAGGTGGAGGTGGAGCCAGGAGCACTGAAAAGTTGGAACCTGTAGCATCAGCCCCAGAATCAGTGCCTGAGCAAGGAGCCACATATTAACTTCAGAAGAGCCACAGATGGCTCCAGAGCCACAGGTTGGCCAATCTTGACCTAGCAGCTTATAATAGTAGATGTCATAACTTACCTCACCCCTTTCCAATTCAAGCACTAAGTGTTACATTTAAAAAGCAGATAAATAGCTAAAGCTGCTTAATGTTTAAAACTAGCCCACCAACAGAACATTTAACCTTTCTCTCTTTCATAAATCCTGTGGCAGCAAGGCCATTCTCCACAGCTGGAGAGAAACTATGCAGGAGACACAGAACAACCAAAATAGAACTCTCTCGGGGTCTAGAATTACTTTACAAGGTTCTTGCCCACACAGAAGAGTAAATAAACAAAACCGAAATGCTTAGCATAGTGTTTGGC